GCCCGCTTCGACGCACCCTCACCACCGGCGCCGCAAACTTTCCTCTCTTCTTTGGACGAGAAGACCCCCACTCTATTCACAGAGACCCCCCCTCCTGCCCCCCTCCCTCCCCGCATCCGCCAATGCAAGAGCAGCCAGAGCCAGCAGGCCGGCCCCCACCCCGCCCGCCCGCGGGGGCTGGGGGCTGCAGTCTCCCCCTTCCCCAGCACGGATCCTCCAATGCCGAGCCGGCAGCGAGGCCCCCGCCCGCGGCACACGGGGGTGGTGGGGCTGCCTTCGCCCCCTCCCCCAAATATCCGGGCTGTAGCTCGCCCCCCAGGTCCCCCTCCCGCTGGAGAGAGGAGGAGGGGCTGGCGGGGGGGGCTGCAGGCAACCTCCCCCCCTCCCCAGGCGCGAATCGTCCAATGCAAACCCTCCCGGAGCTGCAGAGGCGCAGAGCGGCCCCCACCTCCGCGGCTCGCCTGAGGAGAGCCGATCCCAGAGGGGCCAGGGGCTGCAGAGCAGACCGGCCTCCCCCCGGTCTTTCATTGCATTTCTCACCCCCACCCCCCGTACCGCGATCAACTCTCAGCCTCGCTARAAGAGCGAGGCGCCGGCATTGTGGGGGAGGGAAGGGGTACAGCGGGAATTCTTCCAGTGCGAGAATGCCCTCCCCTGGGGAGCAGTTGGGAGAAACGGTACCCGCGGGCCGGGGGCTGCGGGAGGCACGGGCACTTCACCGCCCCGAGTGCGTCCATGTTGGGGAAACTGCTGCTCCGCGGAGCCCCTCCCGCGCACCCGGGGTTCCCACGGCGCCCGGCGCGCCCCACGCCCCAGCGCGCCGAGGCTCCTGCTCCCTCAAGTTACCATTCCCCGGGCCCAGGTTAAACGCCCCAAAATGCACCGCCGAATTCGCTGCGCCGGTTTGCCTGGACTGTCCTGGTGCTGAATCTTCGCTATGTACTCGAGGTCTCTCTATGGAAAGCTGCTATTTCAACATCATCATCATTACTCATTTGCAGCTGAAATCTTTCTGTCTCAGAGAAGAATTTTTCTCTASTTTTGAAGAAGTATCTCCCACACACACATCACACACATTCCCCAAACAGAGTTCTTTGTTTTGTTAAAGACAACACTTGGAAAGAAGTGTTCAAGGACACTTTTTTGCATTTGTAACATCAAGCCTAATTAAGAATGCTTGGACCACCTATTCACAATCTAATATAGTCACTTAAACTATTCTGTGGAAAATACTGAACTTGGCACATRTGAGGGCATCACAAACTACAGAGCCTTCCAAAAGCTCAAACCCAGCACTTGAATTAAATAGTGGTGGAACTGAAAAAGTATTCTGGGTACTGATGTGCAAATGAGCGCACCAAGCTTCCAACTTCCAAAATATTACATTAACACTTAGGGCCACACAGTGCCCTCAGCCTGTACACCAGATTTCTGCTTTTGATAGGAACTGTTTGTCTCTACTGCAGTCAGAATATTACCARTAACTTTTTATTACTGAACTATATGTGCACACACCCTGATATGAATGTATACTTTGAAAAATTCGAGGTGGAGCGGTAGCAATATTGACAAACACAGCTTAAATACACCCTATTATACAGATAATACAGTGCTTGTATTCTCTTAAGTCTRTGTGCCACAGACACACGAGTTGTACTTGCTACAGTGAGGAAAATGATTATGTTTAACTCGCTAGCCAGGCTGCAAGCACACACACATGGAGCCGTTAAAGAATCTGGAATTTGCTTATCTTTCGTAGTGGCTTTGGACAGTTGTGTGCCTTTCCCCCAATGGTTTATTAATTTGCTTTCCTTTAGCCCCCAGCCTCCTGACATGGTTCCTGCTTCCTATTTCAGTTCCCTCCTCGCCTGTTCTTTGTCTCTCCTCTAGGCAGGGGGAGGGGGTGTCCTGCCTCGCTCACTGCACTTTCCTCAGAACTTTCTCCAGTTGCCACGGAATGTACTGGTTTCAGCTTCCAGCCCTCCTGTTTAAAAGGCATCGTCCAAAACACCCTGCCTACTTCTTTAAGTAAAAGCAAAAAAAMACCCCAAAGCATGGCTGTTTCTTGCCAAGTGACCCACTCACACTTGCCACGAGGATGCCAGATCAGCATGCCGGGAGCTCACACTCTTAGTAGTTGCTGGATGCTCGCTCAAGATGACGGCCAGCACCTTGCACTCCCAGRTAATCACAAGGACACTGACACAGCCCTTTGCTTTGGCTCCTGAGCACTCTGCCATGGCAGTGCCTGCAGCTCTCCTGTTGGTACTTACAGTCTTTCTAGACTGCTTTCCTGCGCCGCTGCAGCTCCACCAACATATTTAAAAGACTGCTGCTTAGAACATTTTCTGGTCCCAAACTTACACTGTCTCAGAATAGGAGACTATTAAGGTAGCCACTCAACTAGCATTTCTTATAACATAGCCAAATTACTTCTGAAAATGAACGGTTGTGCCACACTGAGCCAAAATTTGGCTCATCTCTATGAACACACTCGCAAGGTGAAGTTCCCTAAATTTAATGTGATGACTAAATGGCATTTCTCCATACATAACTGTATAAGCAGACAACTTACCATTTCAACTAGCTAGTTAGTCATTGAAGACAAAGTTCCAGATAATGTAAAAAGAAGTTTTAAATTTCAGTTTTAAAATTTACATTTTCTGTGTCTAGTATTTCCTTCCCTTTTCCGATGATTCCTAATCTATTTTCTTTGACATCATCTGCATTGGGATGTGCTGAACTTCTKTTGAATCCGGATCTTTTAAATAAAAACATTTTCCTCAGCTACTTTATTCAGTTTCTCACTATTTACTGTCTCACTTCTGCTCAAGGGAATTCCTGAGGTGTCCCCAAATGTTTTGCAACTGCCTGATGCCTGCTGAAGCACTTCGGTATTTCAATAGTATTAATAATCCTTCTTTGCACTGAACATGTGTGTACCATTTGGGACTGCATACTGTACATTGCTTGCTTCACTGCAGATCAATTGCTACTGGCCTTACTCAGAAGTGCAAACCTTAAATTGGTGTGCAGATACAGTAGGTAACAAAAGACTGTTACAGTTGAAATCTATTTAAACATATTTGGGTATATGTTAATTAGAGTTGAGTCATACCTATTTGTTCCACACTCTCAACTCATGAATCTATGTAGGTMTTGAGGCTACTGAAATTTTTCAGAATTGTCCCATTATTATACTCTTTTAAGAAGGTTAGTMACTATTTCACATGGATTATAATATTAGCAGAGACATTTGTGCATAGCACTTGTGCCAGCTAATCAGTCATATGAACCATTTCCTTTCTATGTGTGTTCCACAGAAATACACAACACTGCGCAGTTCATGGCACACTTGCAATTTCAGTGAGTAGCTGTCAGTTTTTCTGAGCTTACATTGGTATTTTAATTAACTGCTACTGATATAACAAGCAATTAATTCAGCATTCATTACTTATTAGGTTGATTATTACTTAAATTTAGTTTTTAAAGCTTGCTCAGTTTTTTATTGGGAATCATCCCAAGAGAATGCCAACCCTAGCAGCAATGATTCTCAGACTTGGAGACAGCACAGTTTCCTCTGTATCCTAGATGTGGGTTTAATGATTTGTCAGCTTTCTCCTGTAGAAGCAGATGAAAAATCTTTAAAAATAGCCGGCACTCTCACAARACCGACAGCAATTGGATGGTATATGATGTTGTGGAAAATACACAGAAAGAGTTACTTTAAAAAGGGAAAACAACACTGTTTGGTTTTCCTCTTTTTGATCACTCTTCTCGCTACACTCTCATGCTGTGTAGTCTGTGTGTTGCATCTGGTTCAATGGCATTCCACGACAAAGTCTGGGGAGCTGATGCTAAACTACACAACTTTTAGTTGTTATACTAATTTTGCACTGTCTTGGAAGCCAACCTTTGATACTTGATCTCCCTTTTGTTCCCCTCATTTCTTCAATCTACCCAGTTTCATTTACTCTGTACTGCCTGGAACCAAAGCAACTCGACCCATTTAAAACAWGACTGCCACATTTGAGATCTGGGTAACATGGGAATACAGCCTAGGATTCCATCTYGTTGACTCCCAGTGAATTAGGCATYCTTGTCTACCTAAGCAAACCTGACAGACAACTTTTTCTMGTAAAACATACATTACAATGAATCTTAAATATGCAGTGCAAGTAACAATGGTTTGGTATTTACAGATTAGTAGCTAAACTACTGTGCTGGCCTCAGGAAAACTCCTCTCTAGATAACAAGTAAACTGGCCTAAAAAAGAATTAGTCCTCAAAGACAACTAGGAATGGCTACATCTGTACATTTTACAACATTCAAAAGAGACACAACTTTCTGTCTACTGCCTCAAGAGTTAATTAA